GTGCCGCATCAAGGAAGCTCGGGACAGAGTCAGGCATGGTGGTTGAGTGGGCAGCGGCATAGCTGCCTGTTGTTGACCTTGGGACAAGAGAGCAGCGACATAGCTGCTTTGGGTTCTCCTTTGGACAGGAGGGTAGAGCCCTCAGTGCTCCGCCACAGCCTTGGCCTATATGAAGAGGGAGAGGATGGGTGGCCATAGCTATGGTGGACCTCATGTTGTGCCTGCAGTAGAAGTGGGATTCAGACATTGATTCTGGTTCAGCCATTTGACATTATTATTATTATTTCTTGTTTGAATAAGAGGGGAGGAGATAAGGAGGAGGAGATTGGTTGGCGAAGAAGAACAGCCTTGTCATTGGTCTATGCTGGAGTACATCATCTTCTTCTTCTTTTTTACTTCTTCTTCTTCTTCTTTCCCTCTCTCCGCTCAAGTTCATTCATTTCTTTTGCAATTGGACGGCATTGTACTTTCTGATGAATCTATACTTAGAAATTCGCCAGGAAAATAAAAAATAACGTACCTGCACCTTGTCATCGGCGATGCAGGATCGTTGATGATGTGGCAGCGAGGTCGATGACGTGGCGACGATGACGATGACGTGACAATGTCAACGTTGGAGATGACGGTAGCGGAAATGACGTGGCAATGTCGATGACGATGATGGCATGGTGTCGTTGAAGCTGCTCTGGGTCGACCAGGGTGGGCAGGAGGGCGATCGACGCCGCTCCGATACCAGTGTGACGAAGCAGAGGCAGAGCAGCGAGGCTGGGAGAGAGAGGGAGAGTGAGCGCATACACACACGCTCACTCAACTCGATGCAGATTCGACATGACTCGGCGGACGCAGACACAAAATGGCAAAGTTGCAAAAATTTGCAGTCTTGAATTTCCGAACACAATGTCGAAGCGAAGTCGCACTGAACACAAGCACTGAGGCTGAAAACTTGGTACCCGTACTGTGCCTGAGTCCATACATAAGTACCGGACTCAAGTACAGTCCTGAGGGCCAAAATAAAAATGCGTCAATGCCAGAACTGAAAAGTGAAAGTCTGAGAGTGGGCGGCAGAATGTCGGAACGCTAAGTGTCCGAAATCCGAAAGTCTCAAAAGGAGGAATTTTACAACGGGCGCCAGAATGCAGATGGCGCCAACTGTCCGAAATCAGAAAAGCAAGAACAAAAACAAAAGGAATTGCAAAACAACAAAAATGAAAACAAGTACAGCAAGCTGGCGGGTGGTAACTCGCAGACCAGAGGCCTGGCGGAGTCCGTAACAAGCACAATAAGGAAGTAAATAAGTTGTCAAAGGAGGCATGAGTAACTGTCACCTAGAAGAGGGCAATTGGAAGTAGATCGACAACCAGGAGAGTCCAAAGTTTTTATTATTTACCTCGCCCCTCATCTCACCACCATCTCTCTCCTCCATCACATCTTATTAATACAATAAAATGATATTAACAATAACAACGAATGAATAGACCGGAATCAATGTCTGAATCCTCCTGTTACTGCCGGCATCACACGAGGTCACCTTGGACTATCTACACCTCCTAACTCTACTTGGTTGAGCATCCGGCTATGGTGGCAGCATCTAGGCCTAACCCGGATGTTCAGAGGACAAAGCAAAGCTCTCTCCTTGCCTCTACCACTCCCAAGCCCACATTGCTTCTCCAGAGTCTTCTTGACTTTGCAACCCCATCCAGGGGCCTTCCAGATGAAGCGCTAACCGAGGACTCGAGATGAAGATGCCATCCATCGTAGCCAAGGTAAGCTTTCTACTTTAGTCTCCTCCTCCTCCCCCCTCCTCCCTTCTTCCTCTTCCTTTCTTCTTCCTCACTTCTCCACCATAGCCACATCTTCCTCAAGCTTCACCTTCGTCTCCTTCACCATAGCCAAGGTGGGAGCCAAGCTCGCCTTCTTCCTACACCCAGCGCCTCCCCAGACTGGGTAGCTCCAGCACTCTCACGGCTTGCTTCTCCTGCTCTTGGCACCAAATGATATATTCTTTTCCTACCAGTGACTCCTGGCCGAATTTCACCATAGCTCGGACTCCCTTGGTGCCCTGGACCTATTGGAAGTTCTTGCCCACTGGCGGGATTATTATTGCAACCCTCCCAGGCCTGAATCTGCCCCAGTTACTCTCTATCTACGGTCCTGGACGTCTTTAACATTTTGGAAGCTGCTGCATTTTTCCTCTGAGCCTACTCAGTCTGGTAGTACTGGGCCTACTTGGACCAACCCGATTTGCTGAAAAAGACCTACCGGCCCCCCATCAAATTCTAAAACTACCCCTGGTGTCTAAAGCTACTGGTAAGTTCTTCTATTGCCAAATTACGGGTCTGTCCGTGTGTCTATTCCCATTACCTTTCTGCCCCAGGTCGAGATACAGAAACACAGCAAGCAGTTTAGCACAAGGGC